CACACACACACACACATCGCAAGCATGTCCAAGAAGGGAGGTCAGGCTGCGGCCGCTGCGGTCTCGACGTTTGTCAAGCTGCTCGTGCCCGCCGGAAAGGCATCTGCACAGCCGCCCGTGGGTCCAGCGCTCGGTGCCAAGGGTGTCAAGGCGATGGACTTTGCCAAAGAGTTCAACGCCAAGACCGCGCATCTCGAGGTGGGCCTCCCCACGCCCGCCATCGTCAAGATCAACCCGGACCGCACATTCTCATTTGAGATCAAGAGTAAGCTGCGACTTCCAACATGTACGATTGTCGACTTGCACAGAAGGACTGACGAAACATTTGACGTTGCTCTGATACAACAGCGCCACCAACCTCGCTACTGCTCAAGCGCGCTGCTGGCATCGAGACGGGTGCGGGCAAGGCAGGGTCGCAGGTGGCAGGCACAATCACCATGAAGCACATCTACGAGATCGCAAAGATCAAGATGCAGGACGTCAAGGGCGTCCAAGAAGAGCAGGTAAGCTCAGCCGCGCTCGTCTCCAACGTTCACCTGCGAACTTCCACTGACTTGACTCCACAACTGTCTTCTGGTTTTGCTACAGATGTGCAAGGTCATCGCCGGCAGCGCAAGGAGTATGGGCCTGCGCATCGTTCGATGAGCCACGTCCTCACCTTGACCTTTCCCAAGATGCATCCCCTCTGCCGCTCCGTGTACTTGTAGCATTCAATTTCAACTCCTCATTCACGCATCTCTGCACCTTCGCACACTGTGTGTAGTTTGACGACAACGTCGCACTGAAGAAACACAAACAAAAAAGAAAGCACGAGAAACCAGATTGAATACGAGGCTGTGGATATAGTACACGAATGCTAGAGCCAGCAAGGCGGGTCATGGAGGCAGAGAGAAAAAGGGTGCGGTACGAAGCATCGAACGCAACGGGACGTTTTTGTGTGTGAGAGAAAAGCAAGCTTCCGGGACGAGAGACTTAGACGGTGCCCGAGCCGATGTGGGCGGTGGCGGTGGTGCTACCGGTGGCGACGTCCTGGGTGACCTCGATGTGGCCCTGCTTCTTGTTTCCCGTGGCCTCGCGCTTGGACCTGTAGTTCTTGATGGCCGACTTGATGGCGTCCTCGGCCAGCATGGAGCAATGCAGCTTGACGGGCGGCAGGCAGAGCTCCTGTGCGATCTCGGTGTTCTTGATCTTGCCGGCCTCCTCGAGCGAGAGACCCTTGACGCGCTCGGTCATGTAAGAGGACGAGGCGATGGCAGAACCGCAGCCGAAGGTCTTGAAGCGCACATCCTCGATGATGCCGTCCTCGTTGACCTTGATGGAGAGCTTCATCACATCTCCACATGCGGGTGCACCGACGAGGCCGATACCGACGTTCTTCTCGGTCTTGAGGAAGGAGCCGACGTTGCGGGGGTTCTCGTAGTGGTCAATGACCTTTTCGTGGTAGCCACGTCGCTGGACGGGCGCACCGAATGCGGATTGGGAGCGTGCGAAGTTGGCGACGGCGGGGCGTGCGACCGAAGAGAAAGCGGCGCTGCGCGAGGTGGAGACGGCGGCCTGCCTGGCGAGGGGAGCGAGAGCGTTGCGGAGCATGGTGATGTATGCGATCAACTGTGGATGCGAATGGGCAAAGTTGAAAGTCGTGTGTGGTCGGGAAAGATTGATGGAGGTGATGATGGAAGGATGGCGAGCGAGGGGCACACGCAGATACGGGGAGCGAATGAAATCGGGATGGAAAGCCGATTAGCGAATGCCGACGCACCAGGCGCAGTGTGACTGGGCGAGAACGGCGGGGCGAGTGGCTGAAGTGTGCTCAGCGGCCAGCGAATGTTGCCACACTTTTCTGGCTGCACGCGACTCCCACGGGCTGCTCAGCGAAGGCCGTATGATGCGATCTGATTAGGCAGGACGAACCAAGTGGAAAAAGCTGAGCCCACGAACGGGCCGCCGCGGCCGCCCACGGAGCGAAAAATGACGAACCCGACCGTGCCGAGGCACTGAGCGCCTTTTCCCGGAATTAGGCACAGCGCTCCACCTCGAGAGACTCGCACGGAAAAGAGAGCTTCCAAAATCGGTCTCAAATTTTCTGATCAGCCCGATTTGGGCCAATCGGGGGCCAATCGGGTGAAGCATGAATTTCGCAGGTCGGGACGGAAGCGACAACGCCGAGGCGCATCATTGTTTTTCGATTTTTGAAGGCCTGCTGAGCGAGACCCGACGATGAGACCGTGGATCAGGCGTCAATTTGAAATTGCGCAGCGATAGACAGAATGGTGAGCAGGGCATCATCGACTCTGAGCAGCGGGTCGTTGAAGGGGAACCGCAAAACGTGCCGGCGGCTTGAGCGACAACGCGACAACGTGACAACGGGCTGGTGCAGTTCGGGCCGAAGTGGGCATGAATGGCATGCAGATGTCAAAGCGCATTTGGCCGCGCGCATTGTTATCGCTGAGCCGAGCCCGAGCGGCAGCCACTTTGACAGGGCAGAGAAAATGCCTGCATCGCCTGCACTGCCTGCATTTCCTCCCCGAGCCGGCACTACTCCGAGCAGGCGCGTGCTCAGAGTGCTCGGACCCAAGCCGAACCAACCCTGATCGGCATCCGGCAGCGGCAGCAGCAGCGGAGAGGCAATCCCAAACCCTGTCGAGAAAGCGAGCCTGAGCATGTCCACCGCGAGGCTAACGCTGCAAACGCTGCAGACTTCGGCCGTGATTGGCGTCGGCGTGCAATTTCAATTTCGCGACTTGCAGGCTGATCTTTTTCTAGATATGCAGCTCGCGCTCACACTCAACCTTGTGACTGCATCCCACTTACAGCGGTAATCGACGGCATGGCCGCTCGGCAGCGCACCCTGCGACCTTTTTCGCGCTCCGATCCTCGGCTGCTCTGCTTCCTGCCCATCTGCCTTAACGGCGCCCCTTCCCTCAACGCCGATGCAAGCCTTGGCAAGAATGCGATTCCGATATCGCGGTGCTGCCGCAATGCTGCTTGGCTCAGCTCACGAGCTCTGCGCCCAGCTCACCGGCCAGCCGCAAGCTCCACATGGTCATGTTGCCCTCGATCCTGCCGATGAGCCTCGAGCCTCAAGCCGCACGATGTCAGCGCCATCAAAACTCTGCTGCCGCTTTTCTTCCAACAGCTCGCGCGGGCACCTCGGCCCTCCATGCCCAAAGCCCTCGCAGAAAGTCGCCGCATGCTCGATCCGCCCATCTCGCCCTTCCAGGATCTCAAAGCTGAGACACAGGGTTCATCATTCTTCCTCGCTCCGCCTTGCCCTCTTCCACCCATCTCGCTTGCAACCACACAACAACGCGCCAGATGTGCCGCCTCCTTCGCTCCGAGGTGTCCACCTCCAAGCCCTGATCGTCTCCGTTCCGGCCTCCTTTGCTTCGGCTGCTGGCGCCCTGGATCAACACAACACGGATACACGGACGCTCGTCCGCTTGCGACCGTCTTCGACCTGCACATACTGGCGTGTCTAAATAGAGCCGGCTCGCTTCCCGCCACCCTCTTCTACGCACCCACTTCGTAGGAGCGTCAACGACGTAGAAGCTCCAGCCGCCAAAATGATCTCGTCGAGATCGAGCTCAACGATGAGCGCGATGAGCATGGTGCTCTTTGTGTTTCTGACGCTCGCTGCGTCGGCGTGTGCGCAGATGGCCCCCGTGCGCTCTCGACCCGTCCGAGCGCGCGATGCCTTCTCCGACCAGGACCCTCTCAACAAAGAAGGCGAGGACCACGGCAAACCCACCGTGCCTAGCGGTGCTTCGCTCGTCTCGCTCCCCATCACCTCGGACGCCTCGGTTGCAACCTACTGGACCGCCAACCCGAACAATGCCACCGCCACCAACGCCTACATCATGATGCACGGTAAGCTGCGCGACGGCGCCAACTACTGGGACGTCCTCGACACCGTGCTCAATCAAGCCGTCAATGCGAACCATGCCGGCGCCGTCAGCACCTCGATCGTCACCGCGCCGCAGTTCTACTCGACCAGGCTCAACTCGGGCCAATACACCAACAGTCAGATCGCCTTTGCCGACACCAACGTATGGCAGGCGGGCGAGGCAGCCAATCGCCCGATGGGAACCAACGTGACCAGCTTCGATGCTCTCGACGCGCTCCTCGCCGAATTCAGCGACACGGCAAAGTACCCCAGCATGAAGCAGATCACCTTTGTCGGCCACGGCGGCGGCGCGCAGCTCATCTCGCGCTACGCAGTGGTGGGTGCGGGTCTGCCGAGCGGGAGCAACATCCAGCTGCGGTATGTCGTGGGCGATCCTTCGTCCAATCCCTACTTTACTCTCGATAGACCCCTGCAAGACACTTCGGTCGCAGACAAGGCCACATGCCCGCTCTACAACCGATGGCGCTACGGCTTTGACCGCTTCAACGGCACGCGGGCGGCGCCGCTGATGACGCCGCAGCAGTACTTTGCTCGCTTCGTCACGCGCGATGTTCGCTGGGTGGTCGGCTACCAGGACACCACCAACGATGGCGACGACACGTGCATGGCCAAGCTCCAGGGCGGCGAAGCACGACGCGATCGAAATCTGGCCTGGTGGAGATACCTCAACACGCTGGCTGGAACCAACCAGGACCTCACTGGCTTCCCTGGATCCTTGCCAGGCATGACGAGTTGGGCCAACGTCACCAACAGTACGCTGGCGCATAGATTGACGGTGGTGTACAACGCCGATCACAACGCTCAGGAGGTGTACACGAGCATAGAGGGTACATCGGCTCTGTTCGACGACTCGAACAACGTGCAGCTTGGGTGGAGACCACAGGGCTGGAGAAACGTCACGACGTCAACACAAACAAAATCGCCAGCAGGAGGCTCCACCGGCGCCGGCGCCAACTCGTCTTCCGCAGCGACGATTAGTAGCTACAGGGCCGCGGCAGCATCCATGGCACTGGCTGCACTCGTCTCGATCGCAGTCTCGCTGCTTTGATTGTCCGCTCAGGCTCTGCCTCTCCTTGTACTTCTATTCTTCATAGCAATGATGCATCACACCAATCACAGTTCTTCATGAATGCGGACCGTGACGCGGTCAAATCGGGCTGTTCTAACGATCGAAAGCAAGTACGCTTGTGAATGGAAACGGGGCTGACACCATCGACCATATCAATCGAAAGAAACTGGAAGAGGTCAAGAAAGCGGCTCAATCTGTGTTGGACGATCCCAAGGCAGAGAAAACTCGGAAGAGGCAGCAGTGGAGGGACAAGGCCAAGACTTTCATGAGTCGCCGGAACAAGGAAGAAACCGCTGTCATTCCGTGCAGGATGAAGGCCACCGACAAGAAGCCCGCTGAGGATGTCGAAGTCCTCCTGGACGACAAAGACCGGGTTGAGTTGCATGCTCGGTCGGCAAATGGAGAAACCGCGGTGTTGATCGGGTCGAACCCCACGAGTTTTGGAAGCTCTACCCGGGTAGGACATAGGCGGCTACACGAGCGGTTGCAGGGCAGGTCAGTGGCTAGCCCCACTTGACCGATGCATACACACTAGCACAGGACGCTCTGTAGCTACACGTATAATGGAAACAGAGTGGCCAGCGTAGGAGCTGGGTCGGCTGCGCTACCGAGTCAGCAGTGGTTGATCATCGAGAGCGTTTGAGTTGGATCGGCAGTGTTGGAGTTGCCTCGATCCTTCCGTCGACCTCTCCAAGCTTGTGACAGCCGCCAAGAGTCTGTCCTAACTTTCTTGTATCAGGACCGAGCAAGATTGAGTCAACGAAGCGGTTCGAAGTGAGCGGGAGCGGGAGCGGGAACAGATTCGTTAGCAGGCGTCGGTTGTACCTGACTAGCACACATCAGTCGGGGACCGAGAGAGGAAGCATGCTTACTTCGTGATGCTCAAAGTCAAGGTTAAGCGATCGCTGAAGCTTAGGTATCACACTTTGCCCTCATCTTGCTTCAAAATGGCCTACTTGCTTCGAGCGTGTGTGGTCTGCTCTTCGGTCGGCTCGGAGCGCATCGAGGTGGCACGGATCGAGGTGGCCAGGATGCGATCCGATGCGATTGGATTGAGATCCACGTCCCGATCAGGCTTTCGAGGACGTCAAATTTTGATCAGAGCATATCTCTCAAGACCCATAGGCTCTAGCGCAAGGTTTACCTCCAAAAAAAGCATACTCTACCCTTGAAGCTCCCGCGCCGAGCTAGATGTATTCGTCTAGATGCACTTGGCGGCTCTGTCGTACTTTGAGCTTGCCAGACACCCGCGGAAGACCTCGTTGATCACTCCGTTCCATCATTGGAGCTGGGCTCGTTGGGGCGGCGCACTACAGTCGAGGTGGCGTACCTATCGCAACCATACTCATCATGAGGGATGCGTGGAAGGCCCTCATCCACACCTCATCATCACCGCTTGCAAATGGCGCCGATGCCGGCTATTTTGAACCGGGCATGAAGCTGATGCGGATCAGTCGGGATACGATCAATTGCGGGGTAGCTGATTGGACTTTGATCTCCGCCTCAATGTCGGGCGAAGCAGGGATGGCAAGCCATCATTATGCATGAATCTCGTCTATCGTGGGGTAACAACACGACGTGCAGCAGGAATGTGGGGCTCCGTGTCGGATACTGTTTGGTATGCGGAGCCGTTGTGTGGGGGTCAAGTTGGACGACATAGCCGGCTGCGCGATCGGTTGGGGGAGAAGAGATGTAGGGCTGTCTGAAGGGCATTCGCACTTGGCCGACGCATACAGCGCTAGCGCAGGACGATCTTGCCTCACGTGGGACATAGAGTGGCCGTAGCTGGCTTCGGCTACCGGCATGTGCGGCCGGCTCACGAAAGAAGCCGGAGGCTCGAGCGGGCCGCACTTGCAATCTCGAGGTCCAAACCCAGCGCCGATCGCCTAGTGCGCGGGACAAGGAGACAAAGAGCTGTTCGAGGCGGAGAGCCCTCCGCATGAAAGATGCCAAGACGTGCACTCCGACCGACCGTAAGCGAGAGGGTTTTCTGAGCGAGAGTGCCCAATCCAAAGGAGCGGCAGTGGAAGAAGCAAAGAAACTCAGCCACCACAGGCTCCGCTCCAAAGCTACAGTAGTCTACTGCAGGTCCAGGCGGAGATCGAATGGGCATCCTAGACCTCGAACAGGAACGAACGCGTGCCTCGTCACACAACGTCCACCCCACTCCGCACCACACCACATACACCGTAGCTTGGCCTGAGAGCAACGGCGGCGACGGACAAACTATGCATCCGCTTCGCGTCAGGTACCTGGCGCGCGTCTTGGCATCGTCTTTGATGGGACCCCTTGCAAGGTTCGCCAGATCCAAGATGAGCTGATCCTGACCAAACCCCAGAATCACCATCTAAGCCATCACGTATGGCCACCACCTTTCTATGGACAATCGGGACATGGACGCAGTCGGACGTCGACCTCGCCTGCAGCTTGAGGTTTGGGCAGGGGGGTGCATGGTGCAGGGTGCAGGGTGCAGGGTGCAGGGTGTGGGGGTGGTTCGGGTAAAGCAACATTCATGGATCAAAGCAGCAGCCTCGGTGACTCGCCAAGCGCTACCCCGCATCGCAAGCGGTCTGGAACGCAGTGGCAGCGTTGGTACGCTCGATGCGCGGGTCTTGCGTTGCTGCGTTGCATCATGACCGTGACCAGAGAGGACGGACGTGCACCGTCACACCAATGTGTCACCGTCCCGGATTGCTGCACGGACGCCTTGATTGGGCTCGGCGTCTGCGCCACACAGACGAGGCCCCAACGCACAGGGTCGATGCAAACGGAAAACGGTCGAGAACGCAGTTGGACAGTCAAGGCAAAGCGCTAGATCTGATGTTTACGCCGCCCCGAGCCCCGCTCTCCTGCGCAAAGACGACGGCCCGAGGGAACTCACCCGGGCCAGTTGGCAGGACAAGGAAGTCCTTGCTCCGAAGCGTTCGGAGAGCAGCGCCGATCCTGGGCGCGGAGCAGAGCAGGTGCAGAGGCCGGACGAAAATGCCAGCCATGCTACGTTGCCCCGTCTCTGTCGACGGCGGTGGCAGAGCGCGCAAGTTTGCGTTGCAGGCAAACCGAGTGAGCTTGGCTCTTGGCATGGCTTTGGGGCGCGCCAGAAACAGGCCGAGCAGGGCGAGCAGGGCGAGCAGGACGAGCAGGACGAGAGCGTGGGCGGAGTCGCTACGATTTGCGTTCGGGCTCGGAAAAATGCCACGAGGCCAGATGGGGCGAGACAAGCGCGTCGACACTGACGATGCGCCTTTTGCGACCATACCCAACGTCGGTTTCTGCAGAGCAGAGACAGTTTCCCCACGCAGCGTCCACAGCCAAAAGTCTTGGCGCCTCCCGCCACGCGCATCGCCCGCACAGAAGCAGTGCTCGTGTGCGGCTGTCAAAAGAGTCGAAATGTGCACTGCCTGCCGCTCACCGCCTCGCCTCTCGCCTCTTGCCTCTCGCCATCCCCCCAAAAATGGCTTCCCGTTGGACATCAAGTTCAAACCTCTCTCGCCCCCACATTCATGCCCCGACGCAACGCTCGTCCAACGCTCGTTTTGGGCAGTATGTCGGACTGGCGGGCGGGCTAGGTTCCAGGCCTCCACCCATCCCGTCGTGCTCCTCCCCACGCAACGCCTTGTCGCTGCGGCTCATCTTGGCACCCCGGCTCTGCAGGTGTATGCAGCAGCGCTATTGTCTCGCACCGCGCCAGGGGCGCACCGTCGCAGATGGCGCTTCAACACCTCTTCACATGACCTGGCCCAAACCACGTCGCGCAGACTGACGAAGCTCAGCCATCGCCCTGGGCTTGGCAGATGGAGGCGAAAACCTTGAGAACCAAACCTTGCCACTTTTGGGTGACTCGCTTAGCGCTGCGTGCGACCGCTGTCCTCCGGTCCCGAGCAACACATGCTTGCTCCCATCCGCGCGTTCCTCAGCAGCAAGCGACGCTTTGGTCCGCCATCCCCGCCGCTGCACTGGCTCCACATCCGCCAGGGCAGATCAGGCGCGCCAGGCACCGTCGTCTTGAAGCCCTTTGGTTGTTCCGTCGTTCCGCGCTCGGAAGAGGCCGCACGCCCTGCATCTGCAGGTATCAGCGCCTACGTACCCCGCATCGCGCTGCTGCATCGTCGCCAGCTGATCCAGCGCTGACGCCGTCGCGCCGACACGCTGCTCTGGGCACATCTGCGCCTCGTCCGCGTCTCGACCGATGCAGCCTGTGTGCGGCGAGCCTCGTCCGTGGCTACACATATAAGACGTCCAAGTTCGCACCAAGCACCTCCCCTTTCCTTCGTCTCACCCCCCATCCACTTTTGTGCCCTCCATCCTCAAGGTCGGTCGTGGTTCATCAACTTGCTACATCTGCTTCGGTCTCCCACCTCTTCGTCCACCTCTCCGACTCCTCACCTCTAGCCATCCTTACTCCCCATCCCATACTTGCTGTCACCGACCCGCTCCAACATGTCGGTACCTGCTCAGGAGCGCGACCGCTCCGGCTCCCTCCACTCGGATGAGAAGGAGGCCATTGGCTACCCCATCCAGGGCAACACCCTCACCAAGGAGACTGGCATTTCGGCCCACGATGCCGAGGCCAACTCGGCCTTTGAGGACATCAACTCGGGCTTTGACGAGGCCGAGGTGAAGCGTGTGCGCCGCAAGGTCGACCGTCGTCTGTTGCCCATCCTCGGTGCGCTCTACTCGATCGCGCTCATCGACCGAACCAACCTTTCGGCCGCCCGTATCGCCGGTGCCGGTGTCGAGCTCAAGCTGACGGCAGGCACCAACTACAGTGTGCCGCTGCTCATGTTCTTCGTCCCCTACATCCTGCTCGAGATGCCGTCCAACCTGCTGCTCCGCAAGATTGGTGCCGCCAAGCAGCTCTCCTTCATCGCCTTCTGCTGGGGTGTGGTCATGATCGGCCAGGGCTTTGTCCACTCGTGGCAGATGCTCACCCTCACGCGTGCGCTCATCGGTGCCTTTGAGGCCGGCTTCTTCCCCGCTTGTGTTTGGCTCATCTCGACTTGGTACGTCCGCCGCGAGTCGCAGGTGCGCATGTCGGCCTTCTACCTCATCTCGGTCGGTATCTCGGGCTTCTCCAACATCATCGCCTACGGCATGTCGCTCATCAAGGTTTCCGACCGCACCTTCCGAGGCTGGCGCTGGATCTTCATCATCGAGGGTCTGCTCACCGTCGTGCTCGCCTTTGTTGCCTACTTCCTCATCCTCGACTTCCCGGACAAGGCTGCCGAGAAGGGCTTCCTCACCATCCAGGAGCGCGACATGATCCTCACGCGCATTGAGCGCGACCGCGGTGACTCGAAGCCCGACGCTCTCACTTGGGCCAAGGCTCGCAAGTACGCTCTGGACATCAAGTGCTGGCTCTACGGCCTCATGTTCATGTGCACCACCATGCCTACCTATGCCTTTGCCTACTTCCTGCCCGTCATTCTCCGCGGTCTCGGATATACCGTCAAGGATGCCTTCCTGCTGGGTGCCGCGCCCTACGTGGTTGCGATGGTGGGTGCCTTCGGCACCGCCGTCATTGCCGACCGCTTCTTCATCCGCATGCCCATCCTCATCTGCCAGTGTCTCCTGACCATTGCTGGTTTGGGCATGCTCTTCGCTACCAAGCAGCGCAACGTGCAGCTCGCCGGCTGCTTCCTCGGCGTCTGGGGTGCCAACTCCAACATCCCCTTCGTGCTCAACTTCTCGCAGAACAACGTTGCAGGCCAGAGCAAGAAGTCGTTTGTGTCGGTCATTGTCATCATGTTCGGTGGTATTGGCGGTATCTTTGCCTCGCTCGCCTACAACGAGAAGGACGCCCCGCTGTACCGCAAGGGTCTCTACGCCACGCTCGCCTGCCAGGCCTTCAACGTGCTCTGCGGTATCGGCTTCACGCTCTACTTCTACAGCGCCAACAAGAAGATCCGTGCTGGCCGCAAGGTGGTCGACGACCGCCCCGGCTTCACCTACACCATCTAAAGCGCAGCCGGTCGGGGCCTCGTCGCCCCGTCGTCGTCTCTGCTCTCGTCTCATCTGTTAACCATGTTGTATACCACGATGTCGTCACCGGTTTCACTATGCTGCAAATCGAATCTGCAAGCTCTTATTCTCCTGGTCTCTGTTGCTTGCTACGTATGAAGATGATCTCATGTTCTCGTTGGTCCTTTGGTCCTGTTCTCATCGTCGGCTCGGCGAGTGGAATGGATACAGTCGGTGCAGATCTCCTTCCCACCACTCAGGGGCTTGGTGTGAAAATCGGCAATTTCACATCGTGGCGGCTGCGTGTTTTTTTTAGTCGTCTAATTTCAAGCCTTCCCGCAGATGAACCGCTGGCTTCCCGTCCCTGAGAAAACACCGGACATGAGGTTCAGCTTCATCTCGGCCACACCCTCCGTTGTCAGACGGAGGAGTGACGAGACGATACAGATGAGCTATTCAACCCACGCATTTGTGAGCAACAGGGGAATCTGCGGAAGCAGAATCTTGAATCTGAGAAGGGGACAGCAGCGTTCGGTCAGGGCCGATTCCTCCACTTGGGTGGCTCAAAGGGCTGGAGGATTTGCTGAACTGGGGCAGCACATCGCAGTCAGGGGCGTGTGACGAGGAAGCGCCGAGGGATTCATCAGCCGGCCCAGCCGACCAACTGTGCTTTTTGGCTGCTTTTTGGCTGCCTCGGGCGGCTGAGTCGGAGAACAGCATAAAAAAGAAACACAGCCGAAATGCACTCCCAAACATGCAGCTGCCCTTGCCTTTTTGCTCAGCAGGGTCTGCCAGTCGCGCTGCCATCCGTGCCCGCTGCCCTGTGTTGGCTTTTTTTTGGCTGCAGCCCATGTGCCAAACACCGGAATGCTGCTGCTGCTGCTGCTGCTGCTG